CGGCACTGCAGAGATTAAAATTACAAGAAAGACTACTAGCAATTAATAAAAGAAATATAATTCGGTGAAACAAATACAGAGACAACAGTTTTTATTCACGAAGACAAGTATTTAAAGTGTCTCTAAAAATCTTGAGTCTTCAAGCTTAAGGCTTAAGTTCATGTTTTAAGCTCGCTTCCAGGTGTTTGCTTTTTTCAAAGATGAACTAGAGGCAAGAATTCGCTCCAAGCTTTCTTTTACAGCCAGAATTGTAACTAAATACTCTTTGGAACGTTTTCTTTCTATTTGAGGTGAGAAAATGTCTTAAGGATTTTTAAAGTTCTGTATATAAGCTTATATCAAACCTGATACTTGGTCAGATCATTGTCTCAAATCTTACAAACGTGCAGAAACTAAATAGCCGCACAAACTACGCTCGACTTCATTAAGTTAGATATAAAAACAAACATCAAATACAATAATTACTCAGGCTTGCCATTCGAGATGCTGCTCCTGAAGGGTATAAAGTAAGGCCAGTATCGCTTCAGACTTTTCAACCCTCTTACGCATCAAGCAAGGTGAAAAGCGAAAAAGATGCCATCCGAAATCGGATTTCCGACTTTGACAAGTGACGAATTTCTCAACCAAAACCCAATAAACAAACTATCAATGAATAACAGAAGACTCTGGATAGCAGCTGAATCCCATTTCTACATCCAGTGGAAAAAGACAGTTAAAGACATCACAAGTTGACACAAAACTCTGTCAGCTTCAGCTGTCAAAGTAAACAAGATTCAAGATGCTGCATAAATTTTCCGCATGAACTCACCTGTCAAATTTTGACCAATCAGAGCATACAAATTGGACTTAGAGTGTGACCAACGGATGACTATGGTTAGCAAAGTGAAAAGCAACTGTCTTTCCTGCCTGTAACAGCTGGCTGAATTTTCGCTTCCGGGGTCAGTTTGAAATGAAAATGCCGCACATAAACACAACATAGATCATATGAATTTGAAAAATTAATAAATAATTGATGTCAGGAGCCCATCAAATGGAGCCTCCATCTCCATTAATTTCTTGAGTCAACCCTTTCCCGAGTAGATTTATAAATAGAACGGCTAGTTTCCCGCGAAAAGTGTCATATTTCCGTGAGTCTTGTGTGTCACCGTGAGAAAATAAAGTTGGATGAAGTCGAACTCAGAAGCCCGTCCTTCGGTCGTTTTCCTTTTTTCCTTTACGTCCATTTTTACAATTTTACAGCCGCTGGGATCTGGGTATCATGAAATAAAAGTTAATGAATTACCCAGGATCATTTGATTTTTGTCATCACCGTGGAGTGGATTTCGCGAGTTAAGCACCGCGTGCAAAAGCGATGACCTAAGTAGCAACTAACGAGGAATACTTCAGTTCCGAAATTTGAGAAATTGCAGTCTTCCTTTACAACTGACTTGTATCACCATGAGAGTTGCCTGATAAAACTGGCACTTGAAAAGTTGAACAGAAGACAACAGTTGCTCGACCGTGAAGCTAACTCAAAAGTAATTTGCTAACGGAGGAATTTGTGACATCGCGCTCCAGTTCAAAGACCCTCTTATCTCAAGAAAAACAAAATGGATTGTATCTGCGCCAAAAGAATTATGACTGACTAACAGGACAATTCTCAGCAGTTAATGTAGAAGTTTAGGCTCAATTCCTTCCTTCGAATTCGCATCTGTAAATCACTTTTTTGCGAGAAGACAATGGCTGGACGCGGCGTTACAAAACATAGCAGGGAATCATCACACTAGCTGACGGACAAAACAACCACAAGGACTACAAGTATTTATTCAGATAAACGCATTTCGGGAAAAAAAAACTTGAAAAACTAGAAATTTGATTAATATTGAGTCATTTAGCCGAAATAAGAACCTTAACGCTCACAAGAATTGGCTAAAGAAAACGAATCCTGTCAGAACTACAGACTGCAGGTAGTAGTTAATCATTATGCATGTAACAGACCAGCTTCATGGCCTCTTAATGTGAGACAAGCAACCAAAATTAAGATTAACATAGTCAGAGTTTAAAACTCTCCACGGTATAATCTACCCGCTAGAAAGAAAAAAAAAATCTCTGAGGGATGAAAACGCTAAAGTCACGTTTGACTAGCTTATGATTGTGTTTGGCCTGTCAACAACGAATTTCCTGCTGTTTGATGAAGTACAATAGCAGTGTCATTTCGTCGTTGTGATTGACTCTTCCCACCGTCGGCGTGCGAGGTCTCCCCTGAGAACCGTTCTAATTATAAATCTACTCGGGAAAGGGTTGACTCCAAGGGCTTGTATGGGAGATGGAGGCTCCATTTGATGGGCTCCTGTTGATGTCTAATATGTGTGCATTATCAGTTTCCCTGTGCTCCCAAACTAGCTAGAAAGTATGAGATTGAACATTGATCGCGAGCTAGTAAAACAGTTAACTGGTCAGCGGACAGGTTCAAAACAAATCACGTCACCTCGATGAGTTGACACAAAAGCCCGCGATATGGTCATGTGATAATGGTCAGTGGCTATCCTGTTTTGACATCTGTCAATTGACCATATTGTGAATGTCTTTTTGAGAGTCTCCCCTACTCCACCCGTACAATCTGTAGACGCGTACGTACGCTTGGTCAATCACGTGACAACCAAACGAAAAGAGGTTGACCATATTCTATGAGTTTGGAGCCCCGCTATAAAAAAAATACCTCAAAGGATTCTGGGACATTTTTTATGATAATTATAATTTACTTTTATAATTATATATATATATATTTTTTTAAGTTGAATAAAGTTTTTATCATTTATTTTTAATTAAAAATTATTATTATTTTTATTATTATCATAATTACTAATATCTGTTACTTCTATTACTGATTAAACATTTTAATAAATTTATTTATTTACTTATTTATTTATTTATCGCTTTAATGAGAATGCCGCTTAAGGGCAAAAAGTGGATTGTTTTAGGTTGTCTTACAAAGAATACATGCTCAGCACTCTTACCTCCAGGGTGTAGTCTATAACATACCACTGAGGCATCTTCATAGTGACGACAGTCATTGTTGCCCCATCCACTATGACCACAATCGACAATTGAAGCTTCGTTGCCTTGACAATTTACATCATCCAACCAAATTTTACCCCTTCCAGCCCCAAATCGGGCATACCTTGGAGAGCTAATAGCGTCACGATACCCCAGCTCACGGCAAATGACGCGTGCGTCATTTATATCCCAGGAGTCATCACAAACTGTTCCCCAGATGTTGTCATGAAATACTTCAACTCTCCCTTCCGAGCACGTGGATCCGCCGACCAATCTCAAAGCTGAAATAATTTTCAATAAAATGGTCTCTTGTAACTTTTGACTCATATTACCTTAAACCCATACATTAACATCACATTGCTTGGGGCAACTATACTTAGCAGATGCCTTGGTTTCTGGGGCTATACTTAGCCTTTTCATGTAACAATAGCAATAGATCTAAATATACACATGATTACATTCTATTGTACATAGAAAAGACAATTCACTTTGTCTTGTAAATATATCTTCTTAAAACGTTGTTTCCCTGAATGTTTCTCATTTGATGCTGCACATATGTTCCAAGATAAAGATGGAATTGTATATTAATTCCCACCGCATATTATGACCTATTATGTGCGATTTGAATTGAAAATTGCAGTAATGCCTTTTTGGAGGACATTTATTAATACCTGTTATGAATTCTAAAACTAGTCCTGTGTGTTGATAACCATGTTAGAACATAAATAGTTAAAATTAAGAGCCACTCTCTAAGGTTTTTCTGTTGTTTTTGGACCACAAAATAGAAATTGACCAGAGGCAGTTTTTGCACCTCATACGGACCTACAGCCATGCAGTGCAGCATTGCGAATTTTGTCAAACAGTAACTGTTTGCTAAGGCCAAAATAATTACTTTCAAAGCTTGAAATCCGCTAACAATTAGTTGTATTGATCCTTTATCTTTCCAATTTTATAGGTTTAAACCATCAACTCTTCTTAGAATTATACAACCTTTTAGTCATCTGACTCACTCCCTTGTCAAAAACTTCAAATTCAGATAACTAAATCGCACAAGAGGCTCACCTTTGCAGAGAGAAATGGCCATTGTTCTCGGGACATTTACTTACTATCGGGGAAAGCTTCTAGGTCTGTCATAATTATATAGCTTATTGTAATTCTAAACTGCTGAACATGAGTCTTTTTCATTGGTTAACATGAACGCGCGGCAGTACTCTTCATCGTGGAGTAGGCGGGTGAAACTAACAATAGCCCAATCTCTCTATTGTTTTCCCTTTTGTGAGGCCAGATCACACCTTTACGCATTTTAATTATTCCTTACAGATAACTGACTTAATGATCAGTCGAAAATTTTAGTTTCGTTAGCTCTAACTGATTACTCTATGAGTAAGACGGCGGTAGAGAAAAAAGTGGAGTCAAAAAAGAAGTAAGTTTGCCTTTAATAAATTACATGTGAACGAAGATAACGCACAACTAGAGTGATCAGTGCGAAGTTTAGAATCGGCCCATTCGCATCGGAAGTTAGTCTCCTGAATACACCCGTCGGACGCGCAATAAAGAGGGACGTTTAATATAGACAACGATAGCAAGAAATTGTGCCGCGCTCTATAAAGAGAATTGGAGGCTTTATGTAAATTTTCAGTCGAAAACAGAGTCGAAAATGGTAATATTCGCGCAGATGAAACCGCCAATAACTAATCTGAACCTAGATAAGCCTATAACATAGCCGAAACTGTATAACTATGCAGTTAAGCGTGAATCAGATATCTTGAAAACAATTTTGTCGGAGTAGCAAATGCAAGCCACAAGTGCTCTGATGTCTTTAAATTTCGCGCGCCTCAATGGCTCATTGATATGCGTATTTGTCCGACCATTTCTCCCGATGATTTAATTATTTATTTATTTATCTATTTAATGAGAATGTCACCTAGAGGCAAAAAGTGGATTATTTTAACTTACCTGCAGAGCGTAGTCCATAACATATTACTGAGGCATCTTCAGAGTGACCGCAGTTATTGATGCCCCATCCTCTATGCCCACAATCGACAATTGAAGTTTCGTCGCCTTGACAATTTACATCATCCAACCAAATTTTACCCCTTCCAGCCCCAAATCGAGCAGACCCTGGAGAGCTAATAGCGTCACGATACCCCAACTGACGGCAAATGACACGTGCGTCATTTATATCCCAGGAGTCATCACAAACTGTTCCCCAGATGTTATTATGAAACACTTCAACTCTTCCTTCTGAGCTCGTGGATCCTCCGACCAATCTCAAAGCTGAAATAATTTTCAATAAAATGTTCTCTAGTAACTTTTGACCCTTATATTACCTTAAACCCAAATATAAACATCAGAATTCTTGGGTCAACTATACTTGGCAGATACCTTGGTTTCTAGGGCTATACTTAGCCTTTTCATGTGACAATAGCAATAAGGGCAAGGATCTAAATACACATATAATTACATTTCATTGCACATAGAAAAGACAATTCACTTTGTCTTGTAAATATAACTTCTTAAAACCTTGTTTCCCCGAATGTTTCTCATTTGATACTGTACATATATTATTACAGGTAGCCCAAGCTCACTATGAGAGCCCTCAACAACATTTTCCTACTTAGCTAATTAATTATTCATACAACAAGAAAATTATAAGACGTTGTATGGAGAAATGTTCTTTGCTCACTAAATTAGCAAAATGCACATTGAATATCGCTTTGAAGCTTACCTTTAGCGTCTTCTTGTTTTTCTTTGTATTCTGACTGCATTTCAGACCCCCTAGGCACTGTTTAAGGCCTTTTTTTGAGCGACAGTTTTTCAATCTACTGTCATCTGGGTGAAAAATTGTCGCTCAAGAACCAAGAACCAAGGCAATAATTAATTGTCAAAAACTTCAAATTCAAATACCTAAATCGAACAGGACGCTCACCCTCGCAGGACCTAGTGCAAATCATTATGTAGTTCCGTTTATGCTTGGTGGCTATTAGGTAATTTTCACCTAGGAGTGTGACGTAAGACTTCCCCTCCCGAGTATCGAAGAACGATTGTTAGAAACCGAAGCCAGATTAACGAGGTTATGCCTCTCTAAAAATTGTTCTGTCAAGGATAAAGATTTGCAACCACCATTTTCAAGATGACCATTGTTTTAAAGCAATGAAGAAGAAAGACAAGGCGGTCGAGGACTGAGTCTCAACTTTAACATTCGCCATTAATTGCAGGAATGGCTCCGAGCTGTGGCCGCCATATTTGTTCTTAGAAGCGAATTAGCAAACCTTACATCACCTGAACAACCTACACCAGTTTATACCGCCTTATCAATTTTCAACTAAATGATAAAGAAGAAAAAAAAAAGGTGGCAAACTGTCGCCTGTGACAACGTTTCTTTGCAGTTTCTGCTGTAATACTTTGATCATTAATATTATTGGATGACACCTACAGTATTAAGGAAGAAAAGAAAAAGAAAAAAGGAGAAGAAGAAGAATTATGCAGATCGCATACCTGTCCTCAACGATCTCTCATAAAATAAAAAAAATGTAACTAGTACAGTGGAGTAGTAGGAGAGTAATTAACACAAAATACTTTGATTGAATTGCAAGCCTTGGAACAAACTCCTTTGTCCGGAGGAAACACTGAGTTACATTTGAAGATTGACCAACGACTGATGATAATTCTTCAATTTAATTTCATATTCATACTTTTTAAAGAAGTTCAATAAAAAAATTTTAAAAAATGTGCACGAGATCTACCTCGGGCACAAAAATCACTAAATAATATTATGGATCTTTCAGAGACTGGGTCTTGACAAAAATAAATTTATCAGTAAGAAGTAATTTTACGCGCGTTGCTTTTAGCTTGGCCCAATTAAAAAAACGAATTAAAAATCGGGGCTAACAAAATATTTTCGATTTCCTTTTCAGAGAACCGTTTCAGTTTAAGGTTCATTAAGTGACCAAAGCGAGTGTCCAAGACCCGTTGTTTCATCGGGTTTTCGAGCAATAAAAAAAAAAATAGTAACACAAGTGAAATCCAGCAGATACTTACTTGGTTGAGCGTTGGCCAGTTGAAGCAAAGCAAATATTAAAACTGAAACAAATAAAACCAGAAGTAGCTGGTAAAATGACATTATGACACTTGATTTACTGTTTATCTCTTTGCCAAATTACTTCTATCCGAATAATTAAGTTCGACGCCAAGAGGTCTTTGCACGATCACACCCAGAAGTAATTTAGCCGCGGGCTGATCAATAATTAATGATTAAAGGGATATATAGTTTCAAAAGGAAACAAAACTTCAATTGCGGAAGTTCAAATAGCCATTCATAGCATTGGCATGTCTCGTATCTTCTACAATTCACATTTTTGCACGCAAACGTATTGCAGCTCTGAATAAAGGAAAAATTTATTGTCTTGCCTTTTTTTGTTTTAATTTTTAAAACAGAATTGTGTTTCGCTGCCCTACATGTAGATATTACACTGCACTTCCTTTTAATTACATCATGATAGTCAATTTGTTCTAGAAAATTATTTTAAAAGTCTTATTGTAAGCAAGCCCCTATTTCAAAGGCCACAGTCCCGTAGAGACAAAAAAAGAAACCCTTGAAATGAATTTGTAATCAACTAAAGTGTGTCAAACTTAAGTTGCGGAAGTTTAAGTAGCCATCCATAACATCAGCATGCCTCGTATTTTCAAAAATTCACATTTTTCCACGCAAACTTATTGCAGCTCTGAATAAAGCAAACATTTATTGTCTTGCCCTTTTTCGTTTTAATTTTGATAACAGAGTTGTGTTTCGCAGCCCTAGATATTCCACGAAGACTTCCTCCTACACCCCACGTGCAGCAATTACAGTATATTAATGCAGTTTAGGAGTCGTGAATACTTTTTGCCTTGTTTGGGCTCTAGAATGGCTGTGAAAAGCATCAAGCAAAACTGAGAAATGCGATGCGCGCAAGGTCTAAGGTCAGGAGATATATGGTTGATCGCACGGCTAATTTGGCTTTGCAGGGGACTATATCTCGCCTTTGCATGACTGATCAGTGTTTGGTTTCTTGGGCTCCCCTGGGTGTAAATTTCAATTCGGCTGCACTTTTGACTCCGCTTGTCTTAGTTCAACGTTTCTGGGTAACTGACCACCTATCCCTTCCCTGAGCCAACATTTTGCCCTAAGTGAGAAGTAAGTGCTAATGTTGGCTTAGGGCAGGGGTAGGTGGTCAGCTACCCATAGAAACGTTTTATGATCCGTTCAATTATAGCGAATGATTGTGACTGAGTCTACCCTACACCTTAGTGACTTTCTTGGCCTGTTTGTTTCGACAGTAAATGGCAGTGGTTAAGTCCATACGCTAAGCTCGTTTGCCTCCTGACTCGGCAGTGCGTTAACGAGCCAGATAGAAGGTTCTGCTTGTTTAATATGGGGTTCAAAATGACCTTGTATATTTGTCGCTTATAAGGGAAAGAGTTCTCTTCCGTGGCTATTTATTGTCTAAAATCCTTGTGAAAAATCTGTCAAGAAATTTCCCCAGTTGTTAAGCAGTTCTGTTAGCCACTTGTTACCTCTCTAGGCAAGAATAGAAAATATATATATATAACAATGGTTCATAACGGGTAAAAGAATTTCATCTTTATGTCAACTTCCACCAGTCACTTTGACTTACTGAGTTAGATTAAACTGTTATCTAAAAGAAAAGCAAAACTATGTGTTCCCGTTCAGTTTCTTTTCTTTCGCTGCCGCTCACTTCCACCTTGTTAGCATTTCTTCTTTTTCTCACCGCCGCTTCAAAACTTTCCAATTTTTCTTCCAACGAAATAGGTCTCTTTTTTGTTGTTGTTGTTGTTGTTGTTTTTTTTTTATCTCACGCTCTAACTCTTTCTCTGTTATCCACGTCAATGTAGGCATCAAAATTGAAGTCGAAAGATTGTTGTTGTTGTTGTTGTTTTTGTTTTTATCTCAAAAAGTTCGGGAAGCTATGCGATTTACCGCGGAAACGCATGGGTGCTTCAAAGGCAAAATTTTATCTGGGCTTACATGAATGGGTGGACGTACTTACGGAAGATTTTCTCAGAACACAAATTTCTTAGTTTCATAGATTACTAAATTTTCTTACGCAAAGTGCTCCGTTATTAGATTTTATGGTAGTATGTTTACATTCAATATTAAGCATACTAAATATCTTTTAGAATACGTATTTTATAGATACGATTCTCTTTCTATTTTGGTTTTCGTTAATTAGTGACATGATATGATTAATTTCATCAAATAACATTCACACTTTATTCAATTGTTTTGATGTAATTTGTATGTTTTTTTTTTCGCAATATCCATAACAACTTTAATTATATAATACTGTCTTTAATGGTGTATACTCGTTTTTTAATCTTATAAATAGGATCCCGAAAATTTACATATTCATTATAAACAATCGCATAATGCTGTTGACTACCACAATTAATTTCATACAATACCATTATCTTGGATAAGTTCAGTATTGATTTTCACAACATGGTTCAATCTTTGTCGTATGAATTTCAAGTTGTTTATCACAAAATGGACAATAGCTAATATTTTGCCCCATATTTTTTAATTCATCATGTGCATCTGCATTCAGGCAATTCATTATACTATTATATGAGATAAAATATTTTTATGTTGCTGCCACAACAAACTTCACAACAAACTTTACTGATAAAATTAAAACTTACTGACAAACTTTACTCTTTATACGGCTATTTCGAGAAAGGTTGTCAGAAAAAGTGCACGCGACAATCCCGAAAGGTATTGTGGGTGGTTTTGAGTTCACTGTTTTTCAAAGAAATTTGAAGGAATGACACGTGAGCCATAGACGTATGTTTGCAAATGCTAAAGGAAAGCAACAATAGAAGATTCGACAGCTACTTTGTTAGCAACAGCGTATTGATCATATCGTATATTACCTTTTGGGATTGTCGCGTGTACATTTTTTTCCGACAACCTTTCTCGAAATAGCTGTATTAATAAACGATAGCATTCCAATGAGTAATATCCTCTGAAACTCCCTAACGTATTATATCATCGACTTCCTGTTTTTCTGAGAATGACTCGTCATGGTGCTATTTTTCCTGTTTCATATAAACGCATCCACCAAATTAATAATAATATAGTTTCAAAAATATTTGTCAATATATAGTTTCCGAAATATTGAATACATCCGATGGAAAGTGGTATTGAGATGGCTAGGAATGAGATCAAAATTGATCTCGTGTCGCCATCTCCAATACTACTTGCAGCTGTCCTAAAAACCTCACTCAAAAACAGTTCAAATATTTTTTCCCCTTTTAATAAAAGTATGCAAAAAAGGATGTATCTCATCTGATTCCACTGCTTGCTGTCTTAACTGAAGATAACGCATATTAAGGCCAAATGAAGCAGACTAAATAGGCGCTGTACATATATATATTTGCCGTCTTTAACCTTAATAAAAAATATCAGTGGATAACTTTCTTTTCTTTTGAAACACAGGGACACATTTAAATTCTGAAAACAAATGTCATGTCAAACACCGACAGTCAGTGATATAACTTTGTTAAATCAATTTTTTTCCCCGAACTTCCTTGAATGGCGCCAATGCATCTATTTGCAATATTGGCTGGGTAAAAATGTCAGAAATGCTTTATACAAAAAAGGTTAGCGTATCGAGAATGATCTTAAAATGTAACTCAGAGGATGTTAAGAAAGCAAGAATAGGTAAAAGTAGTTTTCTGATCAGTGCTGTGAGCAAGAATCCTGTCATGA